ACCCCTGGGGGCACCGGCGTCGTGCCTGCAGAGCGCCCCCGCCGCAAGGGCGCCCTGTCCCCCACCGGCGCCGCCGCCGCCGCCGGCGTCGACCGCTTCGACCGCTGCTGCTGCTGCTGCTGCTGCTGCTTCGGCGCCGCCGCGGCCGCAGACGCCGCCACGCGCGGCTGCGGGGACGCCTCTCGCACGGGGGGCGCCTTGGCCGCGGCCGCGGCGGCGGCCGCCTTTGTCGCGGCAACCTCCTCCAACTCTTGCTTAAGCTGCGCCGACAGCAGCAGCTGGTTGGCGCGCGCCTCGTACACGTCCGCCCGCCTCTCGGCCTCTGCGCGCTCTAGCTTGCGGTCCGTGGCCGTCTTGCGCTGGTAGGGCTCCATCTCATAATACAGGTCAGCAAGCTGGGTGCCGCGCAGCTTCCACACGTTGTAGTAATAAGACTTTGGGGAGGGTGGGGGGGACGGCGGCGGGTGTTGGGTGGTGGCGTTGGGCGGTGAAATGAGCGGTGGGGGCTGCAACGCCGGCAGCACAGGAGATGATCCGGGGACACGGCAGGGCAGTCACAATCACAGGGTGCCTCAGCCCCATCAGCGGCCTCAAACCAGGAGTCAACGTCTGGCCTTGCCCGGGCCGCCGCGGCGGCGCGCAGCAGGCGGTGCGGCCGCCCCGGCGCCCCCTTGGGGCCCCACCCACCTGCAGCTGGTGCAGCGTTTTGTGCGGCAGGTAGCGCTTCTGCACGTTTTTGTTGGGCCTCAGGTACCAAAGCATGCCCAGCGCGAAGGACGCCTCGTCCACCTCGCTCCACTCGCTGCGCAGCTTGCAACCCAGGTCAGATAGTCCCAGCTTCTGCGGGGGTGCGGCGCGGGGGTGCAACAGGGCTCGGGGGTCGCGGGCGGCACGCGTCCAAGGGGCCGGCCCCGCTTGCGCACGCGCTTGTATGGATGACACATGCTGGAAACACGAGCGTCATGCCGGCACGGACGATGCACCTGCGGCATGTGTGCTCACACATGATCCCGCGACAAACCCCTCAGGTCGCACAACACCCCTTCAGAAAAAAACCCTGACGGACCCCATTTACC